CTCAGCCCGTAATCCCGCGCCTTTGGGAGGCTGAGGTGAGTGGATTGCCTGAGTCCGCGGGTTCGAGACCCGCCTGGGCAGCGAGACCTCATCTCCACAATAAATCAAAAAATCAGCCGGGCGTGGTAGCGCATGCCTGTAATTCCGGCTACTGAGAAGGCTGAGGCGGAGAGATCGCCAGAGCCCAGCAAGTCGAGGCTGCGGTGGCCGGGAGCGGCCACTGCATTCCAGTCTGGGCAACAGAGTGAGACTTCAACTCAAAAAAAAAAAAAAAAAAAAAGATTAATATTGGACTTATGAGTTTGGAACGTTTTGGCTATTTTTCACAGATTTTCACAATTAAACACATAATGAAGGGTTTCCCATGGCATATTAATAATTACAAATTACAACAGAATTAACAAAGTAATTGAGAGTACTAGTTAAATGTTTAATATTTATATTATCTTTACGTAAACTAAGTCCTTAACCTTCATAATCATAAGCACTTTGTGATTTAGCCAGCTCAGAGGTCATGCTTGTGAAGTCAGAAACTGAATTAAGGTTCTATGTAAATCCATTAGTACACTTGATCCCATGACAGCTACTTTGCATCAGAAAGACACCAAATACATACCATTCATTACAACAGGTTAGTAAATGTGAATGAAACTGCAAGATTGGTTTCAAAAGGAAAAGAATCAAAGTTCTTATACTAACAGATATGTAATAAATATAGTAGGGGGCATGCTTAAGTTGGAATGTATAACAAGCTTTGTCAGTATTTTCATACTGCTATCTTAAAAAAACAGTCAGAAATCAACAAATGGTCATTTATCTCTCTCCAGATATCCTCAACCTGCCAAAGGCAGAGAATTAAAAATTAATTCTAACAGTTTACTAATTATTATTCTCATAAACCAACATTAGATTTACAATATAATACACTTTATTGCACCTTTAGTATATAAAATACTATGAACTATAAAGTATAGATTTATAATAAAACAATGAAACACTCCTGATAGTTCAGGACACTGGCTGGTCATATTTAAAATGCATCTTCTACACTTACCTATTTATTTATAATTTCACTATCATGCACACTATTGAGCTCTTTAGTTTAGCTGTGTCTAAGCTGTCTGTAGTATATTCTTAGCACTAAGCATAGTGCCTGGCACAGACATTATAGATGTTCAGTAAACGATTCCTGAATAAATGGAGGAAAGGTTATTAACTAGATAGTCATATGGTGGACTTATTATTGTTTGACTTGAAACTTCACTGAATAATATAAAGACAAAGGAAAGTCTTGTTAGGTAATCACTATGCAAATACATTAATAACTAAATAAAAAGCCAGAAGATCCTCCAATCTAAAAATAGGATTCATTTGATTTTTTTCTTTTTTTTTTTGAGTTGGAGTCTTACTCTGGTGCCCAGGCTGGAATGCAGTGGCACGCTCACAGCAACCGCAGTCTCAACCTGCTGGGCTCAGATGATCCTTCTGCCTCAGCCTTCCAAGTAGCTACCACATTCAACTAATTTTTTTGGGGGGGGGTTATTGTAGAGATGAGGTCTCATCAAGTTGCCCAGTCTGGTCTTGAACCCGTGGGTTCAGGTAATCCTCTCACCTCGGCCTCCCAAAGTGAGCCACCATGCCTGGCCCTGATTTTTATTTTTTCTTAAAAGAGATTTTTAAAAAGCAAGGACTTTTTTTTTTTTTTTGCTTTGAATTTTTTACTGTGAGCACACTAGAAAGTCATTACTGGGTGAGAATTCACTTTTGAGTCATTAAATATTTTCGGAAATCTTCATTACTGGGTGAGAATTCACTTTTGAGTCATTAAATATTTTTGGAAATCTTCATTTAATGAAATATGACATGTCCTTAAAAAGCTCATAATTCCCCTTACCATGAGTTCTGAGTCTGTGTATATGTGTCTTTTCATATGACATTTCTTTTTATTTGATTTTTTAAATTGCTCAATATCCCATTTGTAATCTTCAAAAATTTCTAATATTCCCTGCTTGGTAATTCCTAATCTCCACTGACCTTTGCTCATTACCAACTCCAAAACATATCCTCAAGAATGTTAACTACAGTTGAAAATTAATCAGCTGCCAGGCGCAGCGGCTCACACCTACAATCGCAGCACTTTGGGAGGCCAAAGACCAGTGTGAGCAACATGGCAAGACCTCATCTCTATAAAAATTAAAAATTGGCTGGATGTGGTGTCAAGCATCTGTAGTCCCAGCTACTGGAAGGCTAAAGTGGAAGGATCACCTGAGCCCAGCAGGTTGAGGCTGCTGTCGCTGTGAGCGTGCCAGCCTGGGTGACAGAGAGACTCTGACTCAAAAGAAAAAAAAAAATCAACAAATGCTTTTCATGCTGCTTTTAATGATACCGTAAGGAGTGGACTTATAATAACTGAATCTGGACAATTATTTGACATCTTTTGGAATATATTGGCACACCACCAAGCAACATTTTTGTCTCTTCTCCTTTATCCACTATCATAACTGACAATCACATATGGCTTTTACAAATGTCTAAACAAAAATATTTTGAGACCTAATAGTGTTTCGGACAGTGCAATATATCAAACATTTGTCATTTGTTAAGTGAAAGGTAAGAGTTTTGCTTGGACTGAACAGTTAAAAGATATTTAGCTACAATAAAATGATAAGAGATAATTTTAGGTAACAACTATATTTGGTTTTTCATATCCTAGTAAAATGTTTCAACATATATTTCATTACTCACTGAATGTTGGGTGTTAACTGTCAGTCATGTTTTCTTATGCTTTATGAACTACTGTTCTAGTGCACAGCTGTGGAAATATCATAGAAAGAATATAAATCCAGAACCACAAAATCATGGTTCATACTTTTAGATCTAAAATCAACTTTGAGGTTTGGGCAGTTCAATTCTGCCATTTCAAAAATGTCAAAACCCAAATCCAGAAAGCTTAGGACCTGTTCAGAGTCACAAAGTCTAGCAGATTAATTAGCAAGAGAACCTAGGTCTACTATGCCAGACTCCTATGCCAGGGTTCTCCTCCTCTTACCATCTGTCAATAGTATAGATAAGATACTGCTGCAACTTTATGAACTTATATCTCGTAAAGTCTTTAATATTTGCATGTATTCAAAGTTACCAAACCAGTTACAGAGCCGGGCAAAAAGCCATTTTTCCCCATGAGATACTGGTCCTAAACTTTATTGTGAACAGGCTATGAGAGTCAAAATGAATTGTGATCTTGATGCCTATAAAACTACTCTTGCCTACTTGCTGGTATAAAAATAAAAAATCCAGATTTCATGTTTTCATCCCAGAACAATGGTACAAATCTAGGCTGACTGAAGACACTAAACAGAGTCTTTCAAAGGTTGTCTAGTAAGAAAATTGATAAATAAAACATCATATTGTAGTGTATTTCTAACTTCCATAGTAAGTGGCATTTATGCAATGTGCCTATTACAAATATTGTAGCCAGGTGAGGTGGCTCACACCTGTGATTCCAATACTTTGGGAGGTGGAAGTGAGAGGATTTCCTGAGTCCATGGGCTCGAGACCAGCATGAACAACTTAGTGAGACCTCGTCTCTACAATAAATCAGAAAATTAGTTGGGCGTGGTGGCACGCACCTGTGGTTCCAGCTACCTGGGAGGCTGAGGTGAAAGGATCGCCTGAGCCCAATGGGCCAACTTCTACTCAAAAAAAAAAAAAAAATATATATATATATATATATATATATATATATAATAGCAAGAGATTTTTTTTCGCTTTCCCATTCCTCCAAGGTGAAAAGTGAGAATGGTGATGGGATAGCACAAAGGGATATATCATTTAAGAATGTAGAAGAAATTATTTTCTTGGGGCAATTTCAATGGGGTATCCTCCTTTAAAAAAGAAACAAATTATTTTCTCTATTTTGGCGTCCACAATCTTTTACTATGGAGGCAAGTTAGCAACATAAGGTAAAACAGGAATTACTGGAGATTAATTACGAAATTTACGATGGCAAAATGCTTTACTGAGGTATTCTGCAGTGGAATTGGTCTCCACCATGTAAACATTTCCAAAATTGCTTTAAAACACATCTTAATGGTAAATTTTACAGTTTGCAATTAGTAGGCTGTTTACAAGTATATTGTACTTTGTGTGAACTAAATACCGCTTAGATTGATATAGTCAAGAAATATATTTTGTTAGGAGTATTATGTGTTGGTAGGTTCAACAGCACTTATCAAAGCCAAACCAACGTAAAGATGGGCCCCGTAAACCTTGATTTACTAGGTCACAACCTCAAATTGCCAAAGAAAACTCTCCAAAGTGATTCCTGAAAGCTTTGCTTCTGCAGCAGTCTCTTGCTGTTTTCTCCCCAGTAGAATCCCCTCCACCAGACCCTACATCCTAAAAGCCAACAGATCCTAGTTTAAAGTTCAAGTATACACGCTAGCCTCCCCAAATTCCTAACCCCATCTCTCCATAATCTATTTCGCGTTTCTACACTGTAGGACGTTGAATTTTACCAAAGGGGATTTCACTCCCTTGTATTTCTTTGGTTTTTCCTCTTTTGTCTCTGCCCCTTTCTCCTTAGTCCCCCTTCCCTTTTCCTGACCTTCTAGGTCCCTAGCACTTCTATCTTGCCTCCTCTCTCTTCCCAAATCACATCTCAGCTTCCTACAGCACACTAAAGCGTCCTGGCTGGAGGAGAAATTATGTGGGGTTTTTTCCCCTTTAAAATACTGCCTCGTGAGTACCTGCAAGCCCTTTGCCTGGGGGCCCCCAGCCTTGGCGGTGGGGGGAGGTAGGGAAGCCCCTCTCTGCTTCAGTCCATCTTGCACACTTGGGGCTAGTACAGTGGGACGGGGCGGGGTGAGCTTGGCCTTTACTGCGCCACAGCAGGTAGGGGGTGGGGCGGTGGCGAACCGCGCCCAGCCCGATCTCGGACGGGCTGAAAAGAGGCAGCGAAGGAGATGAGGCAGCCCCCGCACCCCGGGACGGGAACTCACCTTCTCTGAGGCAAGAGCGGGTGTCTACTTTAAAACTACTCCCCACCCTCCCCGCCGCCGCCATAGTGGAGCCGCCAAAGCCGCCGCCGTCGCAACAACCACCGGCCGGCGGGCAGGCAGGGGTGGAAGTGGCGGAGGAGGCAGGCACAATCAGTGCCGCCGCCGCCGCCGCCGCCGCCGCGCAGGCGGTGTAGGAGGAGGAGGAGGAGGTGGCAGAGACAGTAGCTTCCTGAGGGAAAGACTCCGCCGCCGGCGGGGTGACAGTGCTCGGCGCCGCCGCCATCGCAGCGAGCCGCGGACAATTGCACTTGCGCCTCGCTCCAGTTAAGCCTTTTTAGCTCCGCCTTCTGCTTAGCTCCTCCCCACTCGCCCCTCTTTTCCTCGCTTCAGCTTGAGCCTCGTTCTAGCTTTTCTGTTCACCAATCGGAACGCTTTAGACCCGGGGGCCACCTCCTTGCTCCCCCTACTGCTTGGCGTCACCCCGCCTCCCTTTGGAGGGGAAGCCTTGACAGCCAAGGGCAAAGGGCAAAAAGCGCGGGATGTAAAAGCACGTGGGCTTCGCACAGTGAGGCTTCTTTCCTTGGAGGAGCTAATCTAAAATCAGTGTAAGAGGGAAAAAAAAATCTGGAAACCTATTGATTCCGCTGTCAAAATACAGAGGATGCTGAAAAAATGTATACACATTTTGAGAAAGGAAAAAAACTGTATTCAAGTTGTAATAATATATACCGATAACAAAAGATGAATACAAGTCACGTTTGACTTCTGCAATTACAAGACGTGCTCAAAGTGGTTACCATCAACGTCCAGACACTTCTGATTATGGCAAACTAAAAGTAATACATAGATAACATCTAAAATATGTAAACGTATTTTTGGCACTCCCAGTATCTCTAAAATACACTTTATCCTGACTTTCTTATAGCCGTTAGTACAAAGAATAGAGATAAACTGAATCATTGGCCTCATGGCTCCTTAAAGAACTGATTTCCAAGCCAGCACGGTGGCTCACACCTGTAATCCTATCACTTTGGGAAGCAGTCACCCAGACTGGCGTGCAGCGGCAGTTCCCGGCCACCGCAGCCTCGACCTGCTGGGCTCCGGCGATCCTTCCGCCTCAGCCTTCCAAGTAGCCGGAACTACAGAAGCGCGCTACCACGCCTGGCTAATTTTTTGATTTATTGTAGAGATGAGGTCTCGCCAAGTTGCCCAGGTGGGTCTCGAACCCGCAGTCTCAGGCAATCCACTCACCTCAGCCTCCCAAAGGCGTGGGATTATAGGCTGAGCCACCAAGCCCGGCTCATAGAAATTTTTTTTAGGTAGCATTCTGGGACTTGTTTCTTTCCCTTTTTTTTTTTTTCCTTCTTTTTCTCAATTCATCCTTCTGCCTCTGCCTCTGGAGTAGCTAGGATTACAGTGGTGAGCCACTACTCTTGTCCTGGGATTTGTTTTTTTCACTCAGCATTTTGTTCCCAAGATTCATCCTTGTCATTTGTAATTTTAGTTATTCACTGTCAATGTTGTATGATATTCCATCTATTTCCTTGCTGATGAGCATGCTTCCTGATGCATTTGTGCCAAAGTTTCCCTTAGGTATTCTCTTTCTTCTAGTCTCACTAGCATCGCTGTATTGCAAGTCCTCACTACTCATCATGTTTAGTTAGAGCTATGGCATCTGCCCCACTGGTCTCCTTTCCTCTGTTCTCAGTTCTTCCAATCTATTTCCATACTGCTGTCATTCATCACTGACTCTCCAGTGCTTATTGGATAAAGTCAAAGAACACATTTTGCAGTATTAGTCTTCTCCCTCACTTCTTTGATCTCATCCCTTTTCACTGCCCTCCCCTCTCCCTTTTGCTTTTACTTTATGATTTAACAATACTACATCTTCTTACAGATGTCCATAAAGACCATGCTATTTCATGATGCAATGTTATTGTATATGTTCTTTCCTCTTCCTGAAATGCCCTTTTCCCACATTAGGCACCTACCTAATGAACTCCTATAGACTACTTGAAACCTAGATATATATCTCCTCCTCCAGGAAACGTGTTTTGTACATCTTAAAGTTAATTCCACCTTCTTCTGAATCAGGTGCATATTTTTATTGTGATGAATTATACTTTGTACTTCTCTCTTCAATAGCCTGGAGTCATTTAAAGAAAAAAAAAATGTTTGTCTTATTTTCAATTTCTCATGTTCCATCCCAGTAAAGTCCTAGGACAGAGTTTGAAAAACCGTGGTCCCTAAACTCAAGTCCCTAAGTCCCTGAGAAATAAATATAAGAGGAAGAAAGTCAATGTGTTTTGTTTTACTTGCACTATTGTCACTTCCTCATCAGCATTTTAAAAGGGGCATTTTATGCAAAGTAAAATAGTCTCTTAACAACATTTGAAGACTTGGTAGTACTGGCTGGGAATTCCTGACTAGCAACAATTGACTAGAGATGAATACCAAATCAGAGACTTGGCTTACTGACTGTTTGTTTGTGTGTTTGTTTGTTTGTTTGTTTGTTTTGAGTTGGAGTCTCACTCTGTCGCCCAGACTGGAGTGCAGTG